GTAAAAATATCGGGCTGTAGTGCTGTATTTTGTACCAAGAATGACAAGAAAAAAGTCTTAAAATGAAAGTTTCTCCACACGATGCTCAGGAATGAAATAAATAGGCCGTCAAAGTACGAAGAGAAAATTGGAATCCTACAAATACTTTATATTTATGTGAGGTTAGTAACTGCACAGTTAAATATTATTATTTTTTTTTTACATACACATAGGGGATGAGGTATGGACATCCGTTTAATTTCCGATATTCGATCAGTGAAGTTAAGCAGCACTGATCGAGTCCGGCAATTGGATTGATGAACGATAGCTCGTCTAACAGTCGGTAGGCTGTCAACAGATAATCCCGGGAAGGCCGCTAGCCTGATGCAGGCGGAGAGGCGAGCCCGGGTGGAGGGTCGAAGAGACCTACCCAGGAGGTTTGCCACTCTGCTAGCGGTGCAGGCGGGCAGGCCCAGGCGGTGGGTTAGTTGACAGCTGAGGACCGTGGTTCGGAGTCCACGCTAAACTGTAGGTCCCTAGGTAAAAAGGGCCCATTGTGGCCTACTTGCCTAGTAAAATAAGTAGCTACTACTACTACTACTACTACATACACATAATTATTATTTCTTAATTTACAATATGCAAAATTGTTTAACGTTTTATCTCAGAATTAATTCTCAAATGCTTAGGCTAGGCCTAGGCTTCCAATTAGATAGACTTTATAAAGCTCTTTTGTTTGCGCTACAAAAATTTTGAACCATGTGGTTCCAAATAAATTAGTTTAAAAGAAATCTACACGGGAAATTATACTTACATTTAAGTTAAAAAAGTGATAAATGAAAAAAATATTTAAAAAAAATCATCTTTTCATGTGAATCGGTTTCAGAAAAATATAAGGATTTTTTTGCAAATATTACGATTTTTCAAATTGTTTATAATAACTGTTTATTAAAAAAAAATTGTAAATTTTAATGGAAAAAATCCGAAAAAAAGTATATTATGTTATTCTTTGTTATCAAGTTTTCAAACAATTTGAAAGTGTTTTTGATAAATCAACATTGTTAAACAGTTTTCATGCAAGGTATTGATAAAAATAGTACTTTTGATTAGTTATGAATTTTTTACGGCCAACCTATAGATTTTACAGTAAAATATCAAGGGATCAGATGTATCAGTTATTAAAAGATTTTTTGGTTTATGATAAATAATCTCCAAGATATCTTAACTTTAATTCTGCTGAAATCCGGATGAAATTGAGAATTTTTTTAGCGGAACTGTCAAAATTTGAATTTACGAAAAACTTCTCCATAATGCGTAGAATATCCATGCATTTTTTGGACTGGTTTCAATAGTTATAAAATGTACATAATGAGTTACATAAACAACCAAAAGCGTCAGTACAGCTGCTCCCGTACACCACGGATCAATATATATCGTTTTAGACTTTTTTTATTTTTAAGAATTTTGTCCTCTACATCTTTGGTCCTATAAAATTTTGACGAATCTGGTTCTGGTTCTGGTTCTCTCAGCGTTTTGGGTGAGGCGTTGCGGCGTACCTTTTTTAAAATGCTTTTTAATTTTTTTGCATACTTGTCTGGCCGGTAGAATCTGAACTTTGGATCATTATACTCAATTTTTAATTCTGAACAACTACCAAATATGTTCAATCAATAGCCAATTACTGTCAACTTCTCACCTCATTTCCTTGAACTGCTAATCATTGCACAACAAGATAATCATGACCGCCGCATGCCGTATGGCCAGATTCTTGGTTGAGAGACTCTAGGTAGAGGATATGGTGCTCCGATAAACTGACCACCTCGTTTTCCCGTGTGGTTACTTTTTATGAGGCGTTAAAAACCATGATGAATTCTATGTACTCCGGCAAATATAGAAAAAGATTTGTGAACACGAGTTCAAAATACTCTCTACAAAATTATGCTAAAATGTTGAAATTAGCACAACAGTTTAACTTTTACGCCGAATTACTCTTGTAAAGGGTGATCGTATTGAAGATTTGCATAAATATTTTTTTACAGCATTTTTTTCGACAGCACTATGACAAATAACAAAAAGCAAAAAGTTTGAAATAAGATTTTCTTAAGAATTTTGACCCTCGAAAGCAAATTCACCAATGTAAAGAATATTTTATTTTATTACATTAAGTAAATGAGAGCTATACGACAATCTCGGGAATAGGCCAAACTAGTGGTCATAGAATTTTGAAAATTATAAATCTATCCATACTTGTGCAAGAACTTAATTAATATGATGGTGATCGCCGTTTATAATTTGTGAGGAAATGAGCGAACACTTATTGAATAATCAAAATTTACATTTTAACATTTTCTGACGAATCATCATTTACATTAAACGGAACCATCGACATAACTGCGTTGACTGGGATGATATTAATCCCAGATTTTACAGATAAACACGTACAGAAATTCTCCAGAAACTATATGTTTAGGCTGGAGTCTTAAGAAACTATATCATAGGACCATCATTCTTGCCAGGTAATTTAACCGGAGTAGTGTATCTTGTGGTGCTGGAAGTTGAGATATTTTCTTAACCGTCTCTCAAGTCACCGAATTAGCCACCAGAAAATGCTAGAATTTTATATTGGGTAAAAAGAGACAAAGCCCTACAGTTCATTGTGGAGTCCGAACCATGCACATCTATGGCATCGACATCTTAGGCCGAAACAAATTACAAATAGTTTCCAACTTGCTCCAGGATGGAATTGAACCATCGACCTTCGGTACGAGTAAATAACTATAAGCGCTTTACCCACTCGGCTGAAACCAAAATTATTTCAAACGATGAGAACTATTCACAAGACAATCTGTTTTTTCAGTAAGCTGGAGCTCCCCCACACTTTGCAGGTCATATAAGAAAATTCTTAAATGAACGTTTCACCAGTCATTGGAAAATTGGCAGAAGAGGTTCAATTAAGTGGACTACAAGATCAACCCAATTTACTCCTTTACACTATTTCCAAGAGAGACATTTAAACAAACATTTTAACGTATGCACCAAGCCGAACTCTTTAGAAGATTTTCGCCAAATAGTAGTAGAACAATGTCATAAGATAACTCCTGAAATCATACAAAATGTTCGTGAAGTCTTTCAACAAAAATCGCATTATTGTTGGTGGTGGGCATTTCTAACTTTTAATTAAATAAAATATTATTCTTACATTGGTGATTTTTAATTTCTCCGATCGTAACATTCCTAAATTCAATATTTCAAATCTACTCAAATTTATCGTTTTAGCATCAGTGATTTTCTCAATCATATATAGAATGGGAGAAAAGGGGGTAGAAAGTTTTAAATAGGCCACCCTGTATAATAATAATATGTAGCTTACTGTAATCCTAGAGCTCCTTACTAATGCAATATTGAATTTTGTGAATAGAGTAGCACATATCAGAATCAGAGAAAAATATCATTTCTTTCAAAAGATATGAATTTTAAAAAACCGTCTCGTTTTTTTTGCAATACATTTTTATGTACAGAGTAACGTGCCTGCTAAATTAATATGCCATATTCGAATTTAGAACACAAAAATGTAAACATAGTTTTTAAAGTACTCCGATTAGAAAAAAAATTATGGTTTTAAATTACCAAATCTAATATTCCCACGGAAAACTTTTTTTGGTATAAGATCCTTACTGTTTGATTAATTTTTACAGTTTTCTTTAAATCAAGATCTAAAATCCAAAAAAAATATTCTTAAATACATAGAAACGTTCATAGTAACCTTATTGTCAAACACCAATCATAATTAATAGTGAATTAAATTCCATCTGCAATTATCTTATGTGAAGATATATGTATATATTTTAGGAAGAGAAGTGATCTGATCACAACTAAATTTTTCAATTTTCATTAATATATGGAAAAATAAGAGTGGGTCCAAATATGAATCTTCAAGTACCCACTTTCGTAATTAATGAATTATTTATAATTTTTTAAAGTAGATTAACACAATACTTGAACTAAAAAATTAAATTTGGATTATGAAAAAATTATTTCAAAACCAGAATCAAATTATTTTAGAGCTTCCATAGACTCCCTATTCATGCGTTTCCCAGTTCAATTAATTTTTAGCCTTTAAATTTTTTTGACCGGTCATATTATTATTATTATTTGATTTCATTAACAAGTAACAATTTCTGGTAATATCCTTAAGAAAACGATAACAGATCTTGTTTGTTTGCAGTTTCAATGGAATTATTTTTTTATTATTTTTTTTTTGTATTTTAAGAAGGAATGTACATAATATGTCTGATAATTGTTTAATCGTTTACAACATAATATGATCTAGTTCCAGTTTATCTACATATTTAGGGTCACATAAGTTATCGCGTGGATAGCTTGAGAACATTGGGGTCCAAGCGTATTTTACATGTATTGATAAAACAACAGAAGTCTTGCATCAGAAAAATTAAATCTATACAGAATGATTTATGAGGCGAAACAAAAATTTATAGAAAATAATAAAACATAATTTCTAACTTTAAATAACAAAATCGCATTAAAATAATCTATAAATTTATATATTTGTTTAAGAATTGAAAACGTGAATTGCTTGTTATTCATTATTGCTTATAACCCTAATACTCTAATTTAATAATCACCACGGCTAGACAACTCCCGAATCCAATGCCGAAACACGAACACACACCCATTCCCAGTGATATTGTCAGTGCTGGTGGCTGGATTCAAACTCGCAGCTACCATGGAAAGATTTCTAGTCACACTTGTTATCACGCGCTCTAGCCATCTACTCCAACGAACCAATGGTAACTAAAACTCTTTACACAGTGGTGGTTTGTTGATTAATCTCTTAGGTACACACTGGAAAGCTTTACCTCAGATTAACATAAAAAAAAATTATTTTCTTTTCAAGTTGGTAAAAAATACATAGATACATTGGAGTGTTTCGCCACACGATTAATTTTTTATACTGTTATTTATTTGTGTAATTTTTGTATTAAAATACTATTCAATAGCGTGGCTTCGTGGTCGAATGGTAAGGACACTTGTCTTTCACCCTGGAATCCCGGATTCGATTCCCGGTTGAGGAGCTAGAATTTTTCTAAACCAGAAATTAATCCTAGCATACTCAGACATTGGGTGTGTGTGTCCATTGTATTTAAATGTGTAAACCTCTCCCACACAAGGTACCCTGAGGTACCTTCAGGGATACAGTGAGAGGGTTGTATTACATGTGGTGTTTAATTTAATTTAAATGTAAATAATAATTAGCAAACGAATTTTTTCAGCGTTATTATTTTTTTCATTCCACTTTTAAACTTTTACTAAGAAGAGGAAACCTAATTTATTTTTATTTTTAAATTATTCTACCCTACAGGGAATTTCCACTATATAATTTCAATTATTCTGTTCTCTGAAGCCATCAATGTTTATTACATTGGGGTTTACTAGTATTTAGTTACTTTGCATCCTTTAAATAAGCTGTCCAGACGAAGCTAAAAGCAGAAACACGTGTCGGCAGATGTTTTAAAGTTTTTAAAGTGATTGTTCAACTGGTGAGTACCTTTTGTTTTATTTGTTTTTGGTTTTACTGAACAGAATAGTTGGAAGTAAAAATAACATTATTGAGTCAGTCACACTGAACATAATATGCATATTATCTTTCTTGTAATCCAAGTTTCAGCATTTTGGCAAATAGCCGGGAAAATAATTGTTTAAAGAGATATATGTTGTACTTATCTATGAAAAGTTTTGTAAAAGTAGCAAATAATAATTAGCAAAGAAATTTTTCAGCGTTATTATTTTTTCATTCTACTCTTCTACATTTTAAACTTTTACCAAGAAGAGGAAACCTAATTTATTTTTATTTTTAATAAAATTTAATTTTAATTATTTGATTATATTAAAAAAAGAAGTTTTATTTTTTTTCTTTCTCTGTATTTGATTTCTTACCGTATAGTTTTCAAAATTGTTGAAAAATCTAAAAACTCACTGTCACTTCTACTTTGATTTCAACCAACGCCAACTGTGTTCTTCCGAATAGTGCCGATAACCTAGATTTGAAATTTCACATAATAGTAATAATGACCGATTTTATTATTTAGAAGAAAGTCTTACAAATAATGGGAAAAGTAACATTAGAGCCACTCTTACACTTACCTCTTATCTATAACTAAAACGTATAAAACAGAATTAAATGTGTATACGTACACTTATATATGTGCCTAAAAATTAGAAATGTGTGTATTTTATAGTGTGAAAATATGACCGATGGCTTCATGAGCAGGTGCCGGAAAATTTGCCAGTTTTCAGAGGCGGCAGTTATATAAAAAAATCATATTTTTTAAAAAGCCTTTATATAACTAAATTAATTGATATGTACTCGTTTATTTATATATCTGTAACAATGGGTACAGGTCGTGCAATCAAGATCTCTGCGGAAAATCGGGATTTTCTGTTTATAATTTATTGGCAATTAAGCACGTATTCCCCTGTACCACAGTGGCTTTGCCTCATACGATCGCGTAGAATTAGTTATACTTTCGCGGAAGCGTGTTAAGCATATGATTCGCTACACAGTAAAAAATATTAAATCGTTTTAACACTTGCCAGTGTTTAATCTGTAGTGTTCAGGATTATGCTTGTTTTTGTAATATTAATATATTAGAAAAGGTAATTTAACACAATAAATATTACATGTTAACATGTAATCGAATTTATGAGAATTATAAGAAATTTATGATACACTGTAGAAAAAAATTAACATGTAATGTTGATTTAGTGCCTACCCAAAAGACCCTATCTCTTTTCCCATTTATATTAGTGTGCATTTTTAACATCACAGTTTTTAAATTGGCACTTAAATTATGCATATAATAGTTTTTCATATAATTTAGTTATATCGTGTTAAAATAATATTGTAGACATTTACGATGGAAACACTGAATTTTTTGCTAAAAATCACATAATGCGAGTATTAATAATTTATTACAGTTAAAGGATTCAACAACCAAGCATCTATCTTATACAAAAACTAAGTTTTGCAAACAAAATGTGGAAAACACAAAAATACGGAAACAGTAAAACAACTTTAATTAGTTATTTGATTATTAAAAATAAAAGTGCTATAATCTGCCCAAAAGTGTATTGCAATATGTTGCATCACACTTTTGATATTTTGTAATATACTTGAAAAATAGCTACATTTAATATTAAAAACGTAATTTAGAAAGTTGTAAAATTCCAAGAGCAGTAATGGAAAAAATTATTTACTAGTTATTTAAAAAAATGTATTTATTAAAAACACATTCAAATTCATTCAATTCAAATTTATCAAGACCTTGTTGATCTAAATTCAGTAAACACTAACAGCAATTCTGACAGCAAACATGTGCTGGCCCACGTGATACATAAAACTGCACCATGATTGGCTAATAGCAAATACCCAGTTATGTTTCTGACCGAAGCTAACAAATACTGAATTTTGCATGAGTTAGATTTGTACATCTTCTTTATCATGCAAAATACTAACTTATTCACCTTGTTGGCTAAATAGTCTTGTAAATATTGCATTCTTATATTGAATAACACATAACCCGAGGTTTTTCAGTTCTTGCAAAAACAGAGTTTTGCATATACGAGCTTTAAAAACTTTATGTTGTGACAAACTGTTATTCAGAAGCATGCTTGATTACTTAAATACGTACGACGATTCTTCTTTATATTTTAAAGCTGCATGTTCGGGAACTGTCTCCGAAAGAAATTTAAGGCAGTTAGTTCAAGTTTACAGTTAAAGAAGAGAAAGTACGTTAGGAGAGATCACTGCACGTTGGAAGCAGGAATCTGCAAAGAGGATGGGAACTTTGCAAACAAACATCCCCAAACTCTAATACCTTTGGGAAATTTTACAGTCCTTTTAAGGCAGGCATTATGAAATGCATTTTCTTATTCCTCATTACCTTTTTTGTGATAATCTCCCACCCACATGTCGAATTTAATTCATCGCAAAAAATAACTTTTTGCCAATCTTTTTCAATCCATGAAAGCTTAGATTTTGCCCCAGGATACTATTGAATTTTAGTTAAGAGCGGTTTTTCTTTACAAAATCCAACATGGACAGGTACAAAATAATGTATACCACAGGAAAATTAACATACCTTATAAAAACCGAGGTCACATTTGTGAATATATTTTCTACAAATTTCTCGAGAAACGCTCTCTTCAGATTCTTGATTTCAACGTGCATCTCTCTTAATGTACTTCTTCTTCCTGAATCAAACTAACTGCCTTAAATTTCCTTCGGAGATAGTTTTGAACATTCTTGAACTTTTGCGGCGCCAACGTCAATATTTCCACTTTGAACATATTTTTTAATTACATTATAAACAGTGGTCTTTGTTATAGATAATTCACGTGAAATATCATGCATTGTATGGTATTGCCGGATAATAATTTCATCCACTTTTTTATCAGTAGCTTTACCACGTCCTATAATTCCAAAAACTTATTGAGATACTGGCTACAATAATATAAAAACTGCGAGTGACATTTGAGTTCTCAGTAGTGAATTTAATGCACCCATTGAATTGCGTCAGCGCCACTTGTACATGTACTAGATACTCATGGTACCTTAAATACCAAAAACCGTTTATACTTGTCCCAATATTTAGTTGTCAGCATATTTCAACATTAATTAACGAAATTAACGGTAATAAAAGATAAGAAGTTAAATTTAAGAAAATCTAAGTTAAAATTAAACCAAATATGTTATATGCAGCTTTAAAATTTAAAGAAGGATTATCGTACGTATCTAAGTAATCAAGCATGTTTCTAAAAAATAACAACATAAAGTTTTTAGGGTTCTTAGGATACACATATATCTGTAAAGACCAAATCGTTCAAATTTATCAGTCGTGAACACAGAACATCTATTAGTTATGTAATGCAATGGCAGACTTCAGTCATTCTGATTAACACATTAAATCAAGCGGCATGTATTTCATTATTCATTTTATATGTTTGTTTTTATTTGTCTACGTATTCCTTCTGTCAACCGTATGAGGCAGCAGTAGCTATTGGTCCTGGACTTTGGCTCAGTTTCCTATCCTTGAATTAATAATTCAATACACATACTGTATATTTTTACGGATAGTGATTTATATGTTGTAGATTTTTATAATAATTTGGAAATTAATGGAATGCTTAGCCATTTACTCTACAGAATGAGAAAATCTAACCATGATATCTAACATCTTACATTAAAAGCCTAGCTTGTGCCCTTTTTTTTAAGATCCTCATTGCTTGGTGCGGTAGAGGCTCGAGCATCATAAAAGAGATAAAAATCCAAAAGAAATAAAATTCATAAAACCATAAAAGGTTCTTTTTTTTTTAATTTTAGTAAACTCTGGGCGTGCGCAAGTTCTGAGGATTACATTAAAATCCCACTTTTATTCAAATTATTTTTTTCCTGAAATGAAACAATAGTACTTTTGTTTCATTTCATCTCGTATCCCATTTTGCTTAAATAAGTATCAAATATACAACACATGTCTGATAAATAAAAATAAAATCCAAATCGCAATCAAAGAAATGGCAAACATAGTAGGAATGGTTGTACTCGAACGTTACCGACTGACTGCAAGTTTATTATTATTATTTGTTAACTAGTTCATGAGAATTCTAGCCTGATGATCTTCATATTTTGGTGGTGAAACCTAGTACAACTGAAATTTGAAAATCGAAAAATTGACGAGAAAAAGAGCTAAACTCAAGCAAAGTTCAACAAGAAATAGAAGCATGAACCAAATAAATCGTACCAATAAAAATTGAACCCAGATTAAACAAATAGCCTGAGCAAGGAACATGTGTACATTTTTTAAATTTTTTAATTCGTTAACCTTGTATTGTAATATCTATTAATTTATATTCATATTCTTATATTATACATGTGTGTACGGAAAATTTTTCTACTTTTTAATGGCTATAAATTGTCCATGTTCTGATGATGAGGGTTGTCCTCGAAAGCTGGCTAGACTAATTTGAATTTAATATACATTTATATACACGTATTTTGTTCCTTTGCTTATCGATTTTG